TAGGGAAATGAGATGAATGGGCACATGAGAAACAGGTGTGAGAGAAACACCATGACAGGACTAAATACCTATACCCTGCAAAAATCACATGTCACTGGATGACTGACTGAAATGTCAACTGGGCACAAAATTGTAAGGAAAAGGAGGTGTCCCAAAGAAATATAATACAGAACCTTTGCCTTGCAGAATTAATAGCATAGCTGAAGACAAAGTAAATATGCGTGGAATCAAAACAAAGTATTTATCCATACATGTTAATCAAGAAATGAAGTATATAAATGTTAACCAAATACTGAATGAGACAGTAAGGCATAGACAGAAATCCTTCTTGGAATAGTGTGGTTTAAATGGGATTTAAAGAACAATGTAACAATAAAGAAAAGAATTCCTGGCAGATATGAATTTAGCTGGTCAGTTATACTGAATCAGAAGCCGATTGGGATAAGGAAACCCAATAATCCATGTGATTGTGACTCTAAACCCCCATACTAATGGGATTAGACCCATTATGGTTCATGAAATCAAACTGGTAGTTTACAACCAAATTTAAAACGAAACAAAACAGGGCCAGTCCTGTGGCCCGGTGGTTAAAGGAGCTGGATCCCACATAGTTGACTGTGTGTTTGAATTTCAGCCTCTGTGGCTTGCAAAACACATCAAGTGTATGTATGTGTGTGCCCCAAATCCCAACAGGGTGGAGAAACAGAAGGGACTGCAGTATGATCACACCCCATTGGGGGAGGTGCTTTCTTTCTCTCCCTCTCTGTAGCAAGCTTATATGCCCTCTGGCAAATTAAAATAAAATAAAACAAAACAAAAATAACACCCAGAATATTTCACATATATCCTGGGTAAGTACTAGTGTACTTGTTTAGGTATGTCTTTTTCATTTATATGACTGTGAGCAAGTTGAGTACTGGGTTGAGTCATAATGTAGGTCACTTCTAAATAAACACTGAAAACTCTAAAAAAAAAAAAGGGTATAGTTGTCCTTTCATATCTACTTTAAAATTTAATCCCTCAAGTGTTAAGATTTCTTTCATTGCTCATGATGATTTGCCATGCATAAAATTGTCTTTTTTTTTCTCGCTCTCTCTAAAAAGGTTTTTGCCATAGGATGCATGTGCTCCCTAGAGAGAGAGAGAGAGAGACTGGGAGAGGAAAAGTGAGAAACCATCCCCTAGGGAGGATGGCCATGCTGTAATCCTTTCTCTTCCATTTTCCTCTTGGGATTTTGGGCATACACGCATATATGCCTGGCACAATTTTCAAGTCACCGAGTCCAGGACTCAAATCTTGGTCAGCCATAGGGGAGTCCGGAGCCCCTGTCTTAGATTTTTAAGCACCCCCACAAAAATCCAAGATCTGAAATGCTCCAAAATATCAAACTTTTTGAGTCCTGATATGACACCACAAGTGGAAAATTCCACACCTGACCTTCTATGTTGGGTCAAAATCAAAGCAAAATATTTTATGAAATTACCTTCAGCCTTGTCCAGTCATGGTGTCTCATAGACAGCATTACTGGTTGAGAAGCTGAAGGATACCTGGAAGATTTGATTCCATTTTGATTCCCAGGTCAACCTGAACACGCTGGGTGTAGCTGCATGTGCCTATAATTGGGAGACTCGCGCAGGAGGATCATCATACAGAGACATTGTCAAAAACACCATTCTGTGTCTTCCCTACCCCTCTCTCCTGTCACTAAACAAACAAACAAACAAACAAAACCTCCCAAAAAATGGGGACTAGCATGTGGCACGGTGGTTAACGACGCTGGACTCCCACATGGCCGACTGTGTTTCGAGTCCCGGACCTGGAGACTTGCTTTCTCACTTTCCCTCTCTTTTCCTCTCACTCTGTCCCTCTCTAGTCAAATTAAAATAAAATAAATTAATAAAGCTAAATAAAATAATTATTTAAAAAAGCAAAAAATACTTTTAGCCTATGTATATAAGGTGTATATGAAACATATCAATTTAATGTTTAGACTTGGGTCTCATCCCCAAGATATTTCACTATGTATATGCAAATATTACAAACTACAAAAAGAAAACAAAAATCCAAAACACTTCTGGCCCCAAGTCATTGGGTCAGGGATTTAAACCAGCTTGGCCATGTGGGATCCAGTGCCACACCACCTGCTAGTCCATTTCTTCTAATTTTTCACTCAGAATAGAAACTCAAAATTTCTGTTCTAAATGATCAAACTTTGAGATTATCTTGCAAAATAAGAAAAGTAAAGATGGTGGAACAAACTTGTTGGAAATGTAGACTCTCAGGTGCTACCCTTACCTACTGAAACAGAACCTGTATTTTAACAAGATTTCCAAGTACTTCATATTCACATTAAAGTCTGAGAGGCACAAGTCTCCTAAGTTGTGGGGTAACAATGAAGGTAGCTGAAGGGTAAAGTGCTCAGATTTGCACCTTGAATCACTTTAGCAGCTTTGAGGAGGGAAAGAACTGAGGTATGAGAATTTAGACCACTGTTAACAGTAAGAAATCACAATCACCAAACTTACCCACTAGGTGGGTGATTTTCTTTGCTCAGCCATATGAGGGCCAGGCAGAGGGCAGATGGTTAAATTTACCCAGGGCTGAGGTTTTCCTAGATAATTGGGCTAGAAAAGTTCAGACACAGGGGGCTATGGGGACAATGAGAAGGTAAAGGACTCCGTGAACTGAAGGCCTTTTTTAAAAGATTATTTATTTATATATCTTATATCTATTTTTAGAGGTTTTTGCCTAAGGGCATGTGTGTTTGCCAAAGATAGATTCTCCTCCATTCTCCCCTTGGGATTTTGGGCATGCATGTACACATGCCCGACGTGAGTTTCAAGTTATTGGGTCTGAGGCTCAAACTACTGTCAACCATGTGGGAGTCCAGCGATGAAACTGTGAATATTATCTGCTGGTCTCAAATATTATGATTTTAAAAAATTTTTGACTCTAGACACACACACATACACACACACACACACACGCACACGCACACACACACACACACAGAGTGAGAAAGCAGGCCACCAGGTCTGGGACTCAAACCATAGTCAGCCATGCACAAGTCTAGTGCCTTACCTACCAAACTACCTCCTGGTCCCCAAACTGAAGGTCTTAATGAGATTAAATAATTATTTCTGAGGGGCCCTTGAACAAAACAGCTGGAAGCAAAAAGGCTGTGGTCAGAAAACAGGATATCTGTGTGGATTTGGAGACTGTACTTTTTGAGGATAATAAGGGTCAAGATGTTCAGAGGAGTGTGTGGCTAGAGCAGGGGAAAAGCTCATAGGAGAGGAAAAAGCTAATGGACTGACGAGATAGCTGCTGGGTTGCTGAACAGTCAGTTCATTACAGGAGGAAAGAAGCTGGACATGAAGCAGGCAGATTCAGGGAAGAGGCTGCACCAGACTGAGAGCTGGGAAGCTCTTTTCTGACTGCTTTTATTTTATAGGAAGCAAGATGAGCTGAGTTAGAAGGGGGAAGAAAATATTAGAGGGGTGAGCAGAAAGAAAAAGGCAGGAAACAGCGAACCAGGGGACAAGAGAGAGAAGAGATGAGGGAAATATGAAAATGATTGTCAAGCAACATAAAGGGCCTGCTTGAAGCCTGAGGGCAAGCTCCACATATTGAGCTCTCCTCCCTGCTCCCTCTTTGCCCAATTCCTCTGTGATCTGACTGGTGACCCAGCTGGACCTCACGGGCCCCTTGTGACCATCCCCTTATTTCACAGAACCGGCCTGTGGCTGTCCCAGCGGTATGCCTCTTATGACCCTGACCTCATGGAAGGAGATATGCACACCTCTCTCAAAATTAACATTACAAGACTAGAGGCACTAAACCCTAGGCACTAAACTCAGATCTACCCTGCTGATTCTATTAATTGATAAGCTGATCTGGTATTGAAACCCCTAAACAATGTCTGTCTGTACTTGATTTACCCATGTATTGTTCTTAATGTCTATAACCTGAGCCTGTGCTCGCTGATGGCCCAGAACATTCTCTACCCAGCTGTTTGTGGAGCTTCCCTAGCAAGTAAGCTCAGGTCTTTCTCTGCCAAACCTCCGAGTGTGTTCTTTGGAATTGGTAAACATTGTGAGGAGGCCATCTCAGATTTGGGGCCTCCTAAAACATTTGGTGTAGTTAGCAGGATTTCAAAGAGCACCCCATTGCAGGGACTGCAGGAGAAATGTCAGTGTGGGGCCCCACCTCAATGTGGTATGAGGTAGCCAGCCTTTCAGACTGTTGGGGGTTACCACGTGAGTACAGGCATGCCTTGAAAACACCTACAGGACTACTAGAGCTTCTAAGGGCAGCTGATGAGAAGGGGAACCTTTGAACAGCAAAGGAAGTCAAGGTTGCTGCCGCCGTGGTCACTGGCCACTGCTCTGTGCCCAGCCACAGAGCAAATGGCACCCGAGGGGAGAGCTCCAACTAGAGCAAGATGC